TGCAGATCCCACTGGAATTATTACCGATACCCTTTTGCACAGCTTGGTGGCCGTATGGCACTAAGAGCTGAATGAATGGGATGCAGCAGCGTTCTCAAACCATTACAGGTTCATACCCCAACATAAGCCAGAGCCAACTTCAAGTCACATTACTAGTCACAATAGCAGCCTTCATGAGAAAAACGGAGCAGATGACGAGAAATTGTTTCATGCATCTGTCTGATCTGCTATGTGCAAGTCAACATGCTACGTAGTACAGCCCAAACTGGTCATCAGAAGAAAAACGCAGGCTTTCATTGTAGCTGCTGCCCAAGTATTGCCTCCCAAGTGAGAAGATGCTTTGGGCTACAGCTACGTGTTTTGCCTGCCCAGTGTCAAAGGACGCCTACGTAACTGCTGCTGGCCTGCCTACCTTGCTATCGCCCCTTCACCGCCCATCTTCTGACTTTATCAGTGACAAGTTACTGAAACGATGACAGCAGCAGTCTGTCCCATCTGGAGTTTAAGAGCACTGAAGATAAGGCAAGCGGCTTATTTTTGGATGGAAGCGTAGCATTTATGAAAAGATGCAAACGTTTTCATTAGATTGGCTGATAACGGTCAGAAAAAAGCAGAGAAGCCTCAGGCATTCGAAGCGCAGTCGCTGAAGACATGCTCGATTTACAGTGCTTTGCCAGCAGTGTACGCATGTGGCCAGACACTGAAAATAACCTGGCTCTTTGGCTCTGATTTCCCGTCGCTTCTAACACCCACACCGACCTCTTTAAAGATACGGTGGTGGGGAATATTAACTGCACCTCTGCTTGGACAGCGCTAAGAAAAAAAATGTCACGCTACACATAGCCCACCATCCTGAAAAGCTCAGGCAGCAGGTGCTGGGCAACAGCAACATCTGCTCCCCAGGGGAGAAGCCTGGTTGCCCCAGCAGGCCGCCGGCTTTTGCCGCACCGTCAGTGCTCGCCGGCACGCCGCGCTGCGCCTTGGCTCCTGCATTAACCAGGAGCTCCTGCCAGCAACAAGCGCTCCTACTGCCAGTCGCTGCGGTTTTCCTTTGAAAAAGTACTGGAGCAGTAAATGGTTTTTTAATAACTTGCAGAATTTTAACACGCTGAAAATTTTATTCATTTGGACACTAAAAAACCACCTCGGTTTAACCCAACGTTCTTTTGAAATTGCATTTGACAACCAGAGAGGTAAAACAATGAAAGACTTCAAGTTTTCATGTATTTTATTTACAGGCGGCACAATACATTTTATATACAAATGGCTTAAAATAACAAAGAGTAAGCAAGCTGAAGCATAACAGTTTGATTATTTTAAGTTAGGTTGTCTTGAAATAACTCCTGCAATAAAGTATTCTTCACCCTGATAAGCAAAAGTTAGTTTGATTTTAAGTCAACCCAAGGTCATTTCATTTTTAAGTACAGAATTCAAATCAGTTTTCTGGCGATTCCTTCAATTCGTGACACACTTCCGCATATATAGAACATCCCAAAACTATCAAGAAGGGAAATAGCCAGAATTTCCCCACGTAAAAAACAGTGTAACAGAATAGACCGGAGAAATGTTGTATGTAGAACACTTGCATGTTTTATTAACGAAAAGAAGAATGCAAGAAATACATCTGAGATTTTTCTCTCTTGGAAACAGAATTCATGGTCTGAGATCTAATTTGCCCGCAGACAAGAGGTATCCTATGTTACTTCAGTACTTCTGTTTTTACCACACAATTATCTATTAAACTCATCCAACTGTAAACTTCACCAAAACCAAAACTGCCTCCTGCACCAAGCAAAAGGAGAAGAGCACTCAAAACCATAAGAATTTACACTACAGCACTTAATCGCCTCTGCTTCTAGAAAGCACCTTACACTACTGTGGTATGGAGAAAATTTAACATAGACCATGTTTTATGGACACATAAGAAAATATAGAAGTTTGCCATTTTAAAATTATTTTTCCAAGGAATTATATTAACATTTACGGATACATGTATTTTTACACCTCTTCCCTAACACTGCTCCTTCTGTTCAAGATAACAACAACAACTAGCGATCTATGATAAAAGCTGTTTCCTTTTCCTTTGGCTGATTTTAAGTTTTATAATAGTCTAAGCATTTTAAGCCATGGTCATAGCAGTCCAGTCGTGCTCGCTTTCTTCCTCTTGGTATGGCTAAAGACCACTTAATATAAATAATGAAGTACTTGCTACTTGATAGTCCATGATTACAGTATTTTGCTATGTTTATTTTGAAATACGAACACACAACACTTACTTTTCGATGTAGTGTCCAGGTCTCTGTAGCACACTTTGGAATTGCAGCACAGAAAATGTAAACCCAAAGGAATCGGGGGAAAGTAACAAAAGCCACGGCTCCACAGAAAAATAATGCGCTTTTCCGAATGTCTACTACTGCATCAAAAATGCACGATGTAAAATGCCAAACTACTACAGACTCTCTCTGCCAAGTGAAATTTGTTCAAAAGGGTAACATTCTGAACTGACATAAGCACCTCGTCATGTGATTTAATTCAAAAGAAATTTTGATAGATAATACACAGGTCCGGTACAAATGAATGTGGACCTACAGTCCCTAGATCCGGCCAGTTCCCTGGCTGCTAACCTGCCCAGACGCAACTCCAGGGCCAGGGGAGCGCGTCCGCAGGGAGAAATCCTCCTGCCACACACCCCAAGGGCTGCCCTGCAGAGAGAGGGCACAGCTCCCTACCCACACGCAGCCTCTACCTGCCCAGGAAGAAAGGCTGTCAAGTGAAAGAGCCAAGAAGATCTCCCGGGTTGCAGAGAAGGTAATCTCTTCAGACTGAAGTTATCTTATATGGAAATATGTTAACTTTCCCTCCAAGTTATCCCAACACTGTTGTCCCAGGCAAAATACAGCGTTCGAAGTCACAGGCTAGTAATCCTTAAACTGAATCTGGGGAAAAGTCATTGTGCAGTACGCATCTGCCACAGCGTGCCAGAGTTTTGTTTCTGATTCATCTGGAAGTCAACTGTCTATTGCATCGCCTTCTCTCTCCTCACAGTCAGGATTACTTGTGCTGGGTTTTTGTTTTTTGTTTTTGTTTTTTTTTTTTCTTCATGGCCGAAGACTGAAATCCATTTCAGTGGAACAATGAAACATCAGAGTACTGCCAGCCCATAAGGAAACTGCACTGACATTTACACATGCAGAGTGGACTGACTTCTCTGCATTAAATGAGGTGAACTAAATGACTTGAAAATTTACCTCCAAAAGAGAAGCAGTAGGAGACACAACGTCTTCCTTGCATTTTTGTATTGGAAGTCAAATCATTTAGTCCTCTGAGATCTACCTTCCATTTGAACTTACCTGCTTTTTTAGCCAACTATCACGTGCAGTTACATTGAAGTGCAGGAGAGTAACACCAGACTGCACATTTTTAGTGAAAGCAACTGCCTAAGAGCTTGGCAAGTCTTTTGCTCGATTCTGAAAAAAAGCAATCTGTGTGTATCACTGTGGGAATGGTTTGTTTTTTTTTTTTTTTAAGATTAGTAAACAAAAAGCCTTAGCTGACACTGTCCATACCTAAATGACACTAATGATTCTTGCCTTTAAAGTTTTACTAGGAGAAAAATGCTACGGGGATGTCCTTACTCAAGGAAAACTATCCAATGCACTGTCATTCACACACGAAGCTTTTGTTTTTCTTAAGCATAAACTGTTCAGGTCATAAGTATTTGTTTCTGACCGAGCCGCTTTTATTTTCAGACTGCAGGATTTTCTACTGTGTCTAGTGAAGGCAACTGCCAGACTTACAGGGACATCATAAGCAGCACGACTCTCTCTCCATTTCTCATTTGCCAGATCCTCAAACGCTACGTAGTTAGTGAAGTGAGTTTCTCCATGCTCTACAATGTGGTAGTTAGCCATATACGAACCAGGATTTTCAACTAAAACAAAACAGAACACCAACAACTTTGGCTTCTATTCTGAAAATCCAAAAAGTCACTGACAAGACTACATTTGTAATAGTGTAAGTAGAAATTTTACTTTTAAAAAGTAATAATTAAACACTCAGTTACATAAGGTACCGATTTGTCAACTGGATAATCAGTTGGAAAATTGTTTCCAATATGGGCTTTAAAACATTCTTTTACGTACATGCAAAATATAACCATACCTCCTCTCTGCAGGAGAGAGACCACTTGTTGTCAAAGGAAAAAAAACATGCTGGAAATTGTAATTAATACGAGGAGTGGCTCTTGGTAAGAGTTTTAACTACAGTCATTTTATCAGTTGTTCAGAGAGACTCGATTCCAATATTAAACTGTTCTGTGGAATAGCAGATATAAAATCGATTAATTGGCACAATCACAAGTTTACAGAGAATTAGAACTAGCGTCAAACGTTTTGCTGCTGCTTTAAATACTGGTCATTTTTCCTTTGGTTACTTCCTATAATGCAGTATTTGTGGTAAAAAGACGACAGTGTCAGCTTTTCACACAAAGTAAAGTAATTACTGCTGTTGACATTTAAGAGAAAAAACTATTTCATCACTTGGTAGGGACATATAAAGTATAGTTTATTTGGCAGAGGAACTAGAACACGTACTACAACTCCAAGAGAGAGCTGAGGGAAAACTACACTCTTCATTCTTCTCCTCACTTTCAACGTTTCTCATGAAGTTCATTTTGGAAATTATGATTTCATCAAGATAAGATTAGGTCTTTACATAACTGGCCCACCTGAAGTAAACAGCACAAGGTTATGACCTATTTGAGTTGCCTATTATTATCTGAATTTTCACATTAACTACTGAGGTTTAGGTATTAATTTTGTATCGACCTAAAGTACTTCCAAATTTTTGCAGACCTTAAGCTTACATGTTAAGGCACTTACCATTCAAGTAAAACAGTTTTTATATAAACAAGCCTGGGAGATGGAGAGAACATTTTACCAGAACATCCATTCTTTTTTTTTTTTCTTGAAAGAAAAAACATTGACCAAATATTTATAAAATTTTGCATCAAGAGAAAGGTTGTGTTTTATTATCTGAAATGAGCACAAAGTACACCTTCCACAATAACACTGAAAGCAGTGCAAAGACTGACAGTGACCTTTGACTAAAGGTAGTTCTGTAAAAAGAAAATTACCAAATAAATCAGTGCCCTGCTTTGATTGTTGTAAAATTTTTCTTTTTTTTTTTTACACAAAAGTTGGTCCAAACTTACAAAAAAAGCACAAATGTGCATAGTTCAGAAGATCTGAAAGAGTGCCATAAAAAGCTGATGTCCCTAAATTTAGCATCCACTTAAAACTGCCAAAATACAAAATAAAATTCAGAACTAGAGTTTGTGAACATGTACAATCAATTTATCTAGTTTTCAGACAGCATGAGTTTTAAGCATTTTTAATTTTTCCTACTGTATGCAAGACCCTTTTCCACATAAAAATAAAGCTGTTGAATTAACATTATTCAAGTCTGTTGAATTGCCGCTTTAAACTGCAGCTAGGGAAAAAAAAAAGTTTTTCCAGATAAAAATGATGTGCCTGAGGAAAAACAGATACTCAATATGGTAATCCTCTGCCTCGCCCTCTCACTGCAGATGTGCTAATGTGTCCCCTGTACCCTTGGGAATAGCCGGGTCCTTGGGCAGGAGAAGTCCAAGTCTGTCCATGCATGTGGCTGATGCCACCGGGATTTTCCTGTAAATTACTTCCGTAGCTATAGTTGTGCATCTTTGCAGGCAAAGAGTGCGTACTCTCTGGCCCTGCGGAAGCGTCACTGCTGCTCCCCAGAACCGGGATTGGGCCGTGGCTGTATTCAAACCTATGGTCTTTATCTCCACTAAATAGCATGGGGCCAGTGTTGAGGTAAATGTCTCCATAACCAGTTACTGAGCTGGGAAAGGATTCTGAAAAGGCCGACGGAGGAGGGGCACCACCAGAGTGAGATGAAGCAGTACTGTAGTTATCCAAAGACTGAATATCCGAGTTTCCAAGGAAGCTCCTCCTTTCTAATGCTCCTGATGATCCGCTTCCTATTCCATCGCTACTGCCATAATGGGCAGATGAGAAGGAAGATGATCCGAAGTTATCCTTGTAGTCTGGGCCTGTTACATAGGAGTCTCTAGCCTGATAATCCACACTCGTTTGTACTGGCTCCTCTGTTGTCGCCTGAGCTTGATGCTGAGCAAGCAGCTGCAGAAGAGCTGCTTTCACTCCTGCGTGAGGATCTGTTCCTGAAGAGTTAGTTATAGGCAAATGCTGGTTCTCTGTCCGATAATCAAGGTCTTCATCAGTGAGAGGCGGAGGCTCCGGTGGCTCTGGGGGACGCTGGTCTGGAGGCAAGATCCGAGGGCGTTCTTGTTCGGGTGTTCGGTTTAGAAGCCTCATCTCGGACTGCCTAACCAAATCCTCTTGACCTAACCAGATGAAAAAGAAAAGCTTTGGAATAAAAATATACAATAACAATACCAGAAAGGAAAGGACTCTTTCCTGGAACAACAGAGATTTGTTACTTCAATTCTCATTAACTTATTAGTTAAATTTATTGGTAGTTGGACAGATTATTTTGGAAATGGCAACAGGAGGGTGATGCAGGTTTCTCCTGAAAGATTACCAGGCAAGCAGTTAAAGAAAAACAGTACAAGTTCCTTAAAAAAACAAACAAACAAACTAACCAAAAAACCCCCAAAACAAACACCAAAAAGCCCCAAAAAACCCCAAACCAAAACAAAACTCAAGCAACCCATAAAGACTAGAAAATTCAAAGATGAATCAGAAAGAATTTGCAAATAGGGATACAAGTCTTGAGGGACAAAAGGTCACCCCATCAAAGAACAGTAAAACTTAAGGTTAAAAAAAAAAAACAACAAAAGAACAAAAAAACCCACCACCCAAAAAAACCTCAAAAAACACCCCCAAACCACTTCAGAATATTTCTTTCAACAGCTGCAAACACCACAGAGCAATACATACACCACCATACAATAAAACTGAAATAGCACTCCAAAAAGATCAACAACAGAGCTCTAAACTTTGAGCAGACTAAGGAAGCCACTACTATACCCCAATGGAAACCTTCATTAAAAACAAAAATAAAATACTCTCTCCCCAAAATAGGCTTTACCTAAACACACAGTCAAAATTGGCAAATTCCAGCTATGAATTTGTTAGAGAAGACTGTCTCCACCACAAACACCACTAAGAAAACCCCAAACCCCCAGGATAATGACCAATATAGCTGTTTCATCAGGAATACTACCAGCACTTGTGTACCTCTTAAGAGTGGGGATCATCTTTTGCTCTGTCTGTATGGCACCTGTTACAGTAAGACACAAATTCTATGACCCAGACGTAAAAACATGAAAAAATAAATTTAATCATCTCTCCTATACTCATACAGACTCATTTGGTTAATATGTTAACTCTTTATCCCCAAACTATTACATCTCCACTGCTCAAGGTATCTGCCAGTTAGCAATAAAGACCTTCAGTACCTGCAGACGTATATAATGACTTCATCAGATGTGGGTAGCCAGGAGCCGGAGATTCCACGTCGTCCCGGCTGACAGACACAGGAGTGGTGGGCTCTGGAGGCTGCCTGAGCTGTAATGACATTTCATTTCCTGATCCGTTTTCCTTCTCCTCCAGCACAAAATCTTTTTGTTTTGTTTGCTGAGCCTTTATTAACTGAGACAACAGAACAGCAAATGCACTCTGCACGGCTGCCTGGGCAGCGTCAGTCTCAACTTTAGGCTGACTCAGCTGAGCAGGCGGTACAGGAGGCTGTGTGACAGTCGGCTGTTTTAGAGGCTCCTGTTCCGGCGGTGGTGGCGGAGGCGGCGGCGGCTGCTGCTGCTGCTGTTCTGACTGTTTTTCACCTGCTGACAAAATTCCAGCAGGAAGATTTATTTTATTTAGTTGCTGCTGAGTCTCTGGGTTTACCTTAATATTCAACACTTGGGCAAACTGTGCCAAACTAACACTTGTTTTAGACTGTAGCAGGTTTAGCAGGATTGCCACTTCATTCTGGTTTAACTGCTGTCCAGTGCTTGTTTTTGCTAAAGACAAAAAAGGTGTTTTTAAGTATTATTTAGAACTGGCATATTTCAGAAACTCAAAAGTAAAACTAATCTAGCATGGCTGACAACTGGCAAAGCATGGGTTTGGACAACATAAAAATGGAATGCTTTTACATATTAACTACCTTTGGGGGAGCATCTATAGGAAACGGAATAGTAAGTTCCAACATAAAGAAAGTGACTTCCAAGGGGTGCGCACACGCACTTGGACAGATGAGAAACATCAAGCCAGGGCTCAATTTTCTACAATACAACTAAGCTGGGGCTTAAGGCCACCTGCTTAATGCAGCTGTAAGATTTCCAATCCCCACAAAATTTCCTATCTTTGACATATCACATCCCTCTGCTAAAAAGTGGCCATCTGCAAAACGCATTTCCAGTCATATTCTGGCCCATTCTAATTCAGCATCTGGATTCTAACACCTGCTCAAGTGACCAGGCTCTAGGTGACCCAGAAGCCAGCAAGTGCTGAGTTTGAAGGACAAGAAGTCAATCACTGAGTAGCAGGAAAATGCAGGTTTCTGATGGTATAAAATTTCTTCAATGAAATGTAGTTTGCCACAAATAAGAGGAGATAATGATGATGCAGGGGAATATGATAAGGAAGTCAGAATATCAAAGTAGTTTCTTCGTTTCAAATACCCATTGTGGTAGTTTATTTTGAAAGGAGAAGTGAAGCAGCATGGATTTCAACATGCCCTATGAGTAGATGACTTAGAGAAGAAAGTAGTTAATTAAAAAAAGAGCATGTGTGACTGTGCTGGCAGAGCCCTGAATTTTTTTAACCCAGATCAACAGGAACACTTCCCGTCCTCTTCTATCCCTGCCATTCTGATAATTCACTGTTAATTCATAGCAGATTGAAAGCCATGCCTGAAAAAATGGTCACACACACAAAAATATTAAGTATTTGCCTTGCAAGACTAAGAGCAGCACAGCTGGAAAGTGCTGCAAAACCCACAACCCACTACCCTACTTGTGGATGTGCACCAGGATACAAGCACTTGGAACCTACTCAGGCAGGATCCAGGGACTTAAAATATTTTATATATTTATATAAATATAAAGCTACCTGTCATTTGGCAATACAGAAAAAAGCATCATTTCTAATGCCTTGTACTGCTGGCTGTCACTCAAGATGTCACGTTTAACACTTAATTTTGTAACATCTGAGGATGGTATGCTCAAACTTCTCTCAGCCCCTCACTGAAAATTCAGCAGAAAAATGCCAAACAGGGAAACTACCTATTCATACTCTGGTTAGTTTCAAGTCCATTCCAAGAGCAAACTCTATTCTGGGAAATCTGGCAATTTCTACCAGAACAGAATTATTGAGCTCTACATAGCTCCTGTTAAATTGTAAGATGCAATAACCAGGTGTCCCATTCATGAATCAGAACATTAGCAATTGATCCAAGGTGTTTTTAACCTCTTCTTTTGGGGTGCTCAGAAACAAATGCAACAGTTTTGTTTAAAGCATGCATTTGTACCTGGAATTCTTTATCGTGCCTTACTGATGATCTTATCTAAGGTGCATTATGGCTTCCAGAAGTGTTTTGACTGACGATCTGGTCTAAGGTGCATTATGGCTTCCAGAAGTGTTTTGCTTAATACAGAAAACACCTCTATGCTGAACTGTCTAAGCTCCACTGAAAATTAAATTGTCCTCTTTTCTACCTAGATATATTTCTTTATGTTCATATGGCCAAACAGCAACATAGGTTTGAATGATTCCTTCTCTATTTGTTTAGTTTATTTTACATGGTTAGTATTAATGACTAATAAACATAGTAGTCTCTCATCAGGCTACCTGATATAAAAGCACAAAGAAAATCACTACTATCCTTTAGAGTCTTTAAACTTCTGTACAGTTTTCATTTGCAGGGGGAAAAATTTTAAGGGCTACAGAAAGTCATGCTTGAAATTGCAGCCAAAACTTGAGCCTAAACATACGGAGTGGCAGAAGCTCACAGCTGGCTTACAGTGAGACACAGGATGAACAGGAGCAAGAGGCAATAAATTGCAATAAAATATGATCAAAAGAACTATTTTCTGTATATCTTTGCCCAGAGTATTTGGAGCTCTGCTCTATTGTTAAATGAAGAGTTGATTCAAGATGGTTAGTATTAAAGAATTTTCAGGCCCTGTGAATGCGTTTACTGTCTTTCTTCAGCTGAACTCCTGTATCAGTGCCATAGGATTTATGGTCACTTTGCACAATCAAAAATTGTCTAAATTAAACTTATCACGTATCCATTTGGTATTGTTACTCTGTATATTTCTACATAGTATGGGGGAACTATCACCAAACTGCTGAGTACCTCAAATGGTGTCCACATAGGAAACCATGACTTTACTCTCTATATTATATTCATAAAATTGGTCTCCACGCAAGATACTTTGGTTAAGTTTCAGAATTAATGGCTGCGCAATCTACAGAGGTAGCTACTTCTTGTTATACCAGGTTTACGGTTTTTTTGGTGGGTTTTTTTTGTTGGAATTTTTGTTTTGGTTTTTTTTTTTACAACTTGGTTCAGCCCCAACAACTTGGAAAGCTGAAGACCAATGTAACATGCAGAGGGAATCTGTTTCATTTGAAATTATGATTGTTCCAAAATCTGCCTTCTGATCAGCTTAGCAATACCAATAAAGCTCCTCCTCCTATGGAGATTGTGAGGAACTTAGAGCAGCAGCTGGCTTGTGGAATTACAGAAGAATTATAGATGAGCAAGAGAAAAAGTCCCCTCAAAATATAGAGCAAGGTAGTTGCTCTGACCAGATTGAAAAATTAAGTAAAACTTCAAAGGAACACCTAGTTTCCAAAAGCAAAGGTAAATCTTTTGTAACAAAGATATAACTTACAGTACTGTTCCTCCCTCAAGAATCCAGGAGACGTCAGTACTCTGAAAATAACATCTAAAATTTCTAGAGGTGCAATCCCAAGTAGAAGGTAATTATAAGAACCGAAAATATTACTGACCAAGTGCTACACTAGAGTTGCCCTGAGTTTTGAGTTGGGAAGAAGTTTGCATGCCTTGTGGGGTGTTAGTTCTGCTCTCATCCATGCCTAGAGACAGATCCTTCCTAGGGACTTTAGCTGCTGTTGAGTCATCAGTCATGCCCATCTGCTTCTGTCTTCTGCGTTTCTTACTCCACAGCTCATGGCAATCCTGCCACAAAGGAAGGCTGCAAAGAATGATTAGAGATAATCAGTTTTATCCCAGAATTTCTTTTTTAAATGTTTTTTTTTTAAACCATGATGGTAAAATAAATGGTCAAATTATACATAATGTAACTTTTGGAAGACAAACCTACTGGAACTCAGAAATACATCAGAAAACACCCAAAGCCAGCAAAACCTCAGATCTGCTTTTTCTGTCTAAAATCTCTTCATTGATTGCCTACTTCAGAAGCACAAGTCCCTCTGGCAGAAAAGGGGAACATGTATCTTAAAATGAGAATTAATGTTTCTTTCTTGCATTCTTATGTATGAAAAGCCTAATTATTTGTGTAATTCAAGACTGCAAAATCAATGCTGCACTCTTGCTATAGAGCAGAATTTGCAGAGTAACAGATAAAAGAGTCATCAATATGAAAGTGGTTTTTTTCAGGGTCCAGGTAACCAATTCCTTTTGTCCACTTCTAAAAGTACTACTGCCTCATGAGTTCAAATATTTGTCCACAGTAACAGACATGGCTATCTAGTATTTACAGTTATACAGCACACACAATCAAGAAAGAAGGAAAAAAAAAAAAAAAAAAAAAAAAAGAGAAGTTGCAGGAATAAGCTACAGGAATAAATAGCACCTGACACTAGCAAAGTTAGGATACTAGAAAGAACAATGGATATCCCAGTCCTTTAAGACAGATAAAAGCAGAGGCAAAAGTCTCCTAAGGAAGTCATCTGTTACCAGTTCTGTCCTTCCATTACCGTTCCCTGCAGGCATCCCAGTTCTGATTACCTGAGGAGCACAGACACCAATCCCATAGGTAATGGAGATACTGAGATAGGCACTAAAACTAGCACCTTCTATTTGCCTATAACACATTAATAATTGTCTGAGCAGTTCCCTCACGCAGGAACATGGAAAAATTAGGTGACATGACAAGAGCCACTGGAAAGGCAATTACATAACAACTGCTTCCTTTATTCTCTCCCTCCGCATACCAGGTCAAAGACCTGCCAAGTATTTAGTCAAAAACAACTGGAAGCAAGCAAGATCTCATTGTGAGAGGTATCCTACAGTCCTTGCAATCAGCACTGTCACTTGCTTTGAATGAACAGCTGTTTCTTCCCAAAGCAGAACGTTAGTCTTTCAACAGAACAGTCAATGCTTTCCTGTGCATGCCCAGTCAGAAGTGAGTGTGGTCCCTCCTAATTTTTTAGAAGGACACCAATGACTAGTTTGTTTTGAATTTCCATGTACCAGCTTCCAGAATGGATGCACTACCAAGCCCCTGAAAAAAAACAAATTTCTTCCCATCCACTTACTTTAAAATGCATATAAGCAACATCCTGTACAAGTGGTTCTGAGATTTTAGTGAATAGCCTAAGATTGCTGATATTCAGACAGTGATATATATAGTCACATGCAGGCAAGGAAACATCTTAGCCTCATGTATCAGGAGCATTAGTGACAACTGTGTGTATGTAACAGGCAAGTGTCAAATGATTTTTAATAAAATTCTTAGATAAAACTCAAACACTTTTCCCAGTTGGTAACTAATTAAAAAGAAGTCAGTACAGGCTGCCTTGAAGGTACGATTTACTCAAACAATATTAAACGTTCTATGTTCTGACAGCTATCTTGAAGGAAGAACGAAACCTGCAGATTCTGTAATACCTTGCCATTGTTTTCCTCAGGGTCTGTTCCAATATGATTTGTACTGATTAAAATGACAATTGTCTCTGCAAAAACCCTACTGGACATTGCAATACACTTCCTCTCAGAGAAACCGACAGGAAAAAATGTGCGCAAAGTATTTCACTTCTCCTGCCTGCAAAACCAAGAATCTCATCTGGCACAGGAAACGATTTATGGTATTTCACTTTAGCTCTCAGGTACCTTTGCAGAATTCTATACCCAGTGTCATTCTACGATCAAAGAAGGCAATTCAGATTCATGGAGGACCTCAAAACCCTTGGAAAAAGTAGACACTGATAAACAGAGATAAAAGGGAAATGATGGTTTTTCAACATTAGAAACATTCATATAAGAGTATTTTTTTTAAAGGTACTCAGTAACTAATTCTAGGAATAACAAATGAAACAGTTCTCAGATCCTCACAACCACTGCTATCATAGTGTAAGAGTCACTCAACTGCACAACCATTGTAGTGCAGAATCACCATGAAACAACTATGTATCAACGTTTTTGTTCTGCCACGACCTACTTTGACTGAAACACAATGAGCTTAATGAAATCAGTGCACATTCACATTTTGTAGAGGTAAGGACCATAACAAAGGAGATTACTTACTCTGGAGGAGGCATTTTAGATGGTTCCACATCTCGCAAAAACTCACACTGAAGAGCTTGTTCAGCTGTGCAGCGCTTGCTGGGATCCAGAGCAAGCATATAATCGAATAAATCTAAAGCAGCTGGTGGGATGCTACAAAAGAGCAAAATGGAGAAAAACATCACATTTTTATTTTGAATCACACACTTCTGTGCAAAATTTAAATAAACACATCCCTTCCAAAATAACTGATCATTAAGTCCTCGGATAACTTACATCCTAACAAAACCCACTCACAACTTCAGCTTGATAGTAAGAGGCAGAGATAAACTTCACCTTTTATTACCTGTGCAAGCATATAATCCAAGCTTTTTTTTGCTTTGTGTGGTTTAATTGCTTGAAACATTGTCCTTACAAAAAAAAAAAAAAAAAACCAAAACAAAACACCCACCTTTTTAAGCCAAGACTATATTGTTACTTTACACTTTGGAATTTAGCACCTGTGGAGTTGCAGTTTTGACTGGTCCATGGACAATAATTCTATTGCTTTAAATATACAGGTCTCATTAGTACGAACAGGACAATACATTTCTCCTGAAACCCACAGTAACTGAAGAAGGGGAACAAACCCTTTAAAATAAGCATACAGCTGTTTTCCATAACTTTCACGTGTGATATTTGCACAAAACTAGTCCAATGGTAGTACTTTAGAATACACAATTCAGGTAACTTCTCTGTGTTGAATGAATTTATGACCCAAAAGACTGCAATGTTAACCAGACTACATATTTAGCTGTAGCCAGTTGTCCTAATAAAAACCAATTAAGTACTCTGAGCTGGTTTTTGGACCAGGACAACTAGCAGGTGTACCAATCACGGAAAACAAATGTTTCCTTAGATGAAAGCTGACAGGTGGCTGAAATTGTAGGGCCTTCTTCCCTCTTCTTGAAGGTCCAATTAAATAAGGGCTAATACAAGCTCTGTGGGTATCATGGGAAGGATAAGAACCTAAAGCCATTTTTCTTTGCACTTAATCTATGTTCATTCTCCAGAAAATAGTGAGGTTCATAAAGTCTCCAGGAAAAATTAATGCTATTACAGTTGACTAAACTAATTCTTCATCCTTACAAAGCAAACTCTTCTCTCAATTTTCGACGATACTGCTTCTTTGGTTTCATTGTGTTGAAATAAGCTAATTTTATAACATCAGGCCACACTGCTGGACAAGGACTCCCACAAATTCGGCTGTACCAAAAAGAAGGGAAAAAAAGGGTATGAGATCCAAAAGCACAAGTGAACACAGCTGTCATTTTATTCTTGCATGTACAGTGAATAAAAAAATAATTTTTAATTTTAATGGTCAGGTTCTTTTAGCTAAAATTTCTCTACTGTCCAATACCCAACACCATTAAATACTGGTGAATTGTCTATGAAAGATAATCACCCTGCACAGACTAAACGTACTTTAAGAAGTCCACTGTTTCTGCCTCACCCCAGCCCAGGCATCCTCACAAATGTTCTGGAAAACTTAACCAACTACATCTGGACAGTATGCCAGGTATTTGAGTTGGAGAACTGGATAGCCCAGGTTTAGAGTGCTAACTAACTTCTATATCCTTCGCTCCCAATGCCAGTGAAGAAAGAGACACAAAATGGCTGAAAAAGCACTTTTCACTGAGAATTTAGTTGACACTGAAGACATAAGGCGGGGAAAAAAAAAAATCTCAGTAAGGCCTAATGGCAGAAGCAAGATCCAACCACTAGAAAACCTGTATGTGTTTTACTTCAGTTATGAGCTTTATGTCTCAAGCCTGATCTATCTCCACAAACGGAGTTGTCCATTGTCTTATTCCTCCCCCTCCATCCCCACCCATTTTCTCCAACCAAGGATGGCTAAGCACAGGTTGACCAAGACCACACTTCTGAGCAGAAGAACTAAAGTGGCATTTTACCATACATGCAAGGTTTCAAACTCTGATGCAGGCATTCATAAAAGGACATTTTGCAAATACAGTTCCTAGTTCACCCCTCCCATTTATTAGATTTAAATGGTTAGTATAAGAGACCTAATGACCTATTAGTTATAACCTGAATGCCATGCAAACCAATCTGAATTTACGCTGGTTGGTAACTTCCAGGAGGGAAAAGAAAAAATAGTAAGTCTATCTTTTCCTATCAGATTTTACTTTGGCTCCATCTTTGAACACTAAAGTTAGAAAGGATAAATGTAGAATTGTTGACTGTAACAGGATGGTGGTAGAGATGTTGATAAAATTGATATATTACATTCAAACAGCCAAAAATGCATAGCATCAGTGAAGAGGAAAAATGAGCTACAAGCAGGAGCTTCCAGAAGGAGAAGGAAATAGCAAAATTTTAGTTTGCTGTACCAGAGATACAACACAAAGAAAAAACTTCAAATGACTGCACTGTGACGTGCTTCAATGCCATCTAGTGCTCAAAAGCAAAAATTTCCCAACTCACAAGTTTAGTTCTCCTTACTCTGAGAATGACCACTGATACACTTTGTACACCCTAAAAACTTCATTTTTCCAGGCCAGCTAATAACACATTACACAGAAACATGCTACTTTTTAATCTGTTTTGAAAAACATCTCAATATATAACTTCATATTATTATTTATTAATTTAATTTTTAAAATAATGTTGACCATTTACTGTTCAGGTTCTGTAAGTTCTGTAGGACTCACCCTCTTTTCCCCTTGTTTCTAGGAAGAGGACCTCTCCTCACTTACGAGGTCAATTATGATATCAGAATCAAGAGCATTTTTGCTTGCTGAATAAAGGGAAAAAAAAAAGATGCTCTGGTTCCACTGAGTTATATAAGTATCATTCTATGATTTATTGAGATAAGGAACGAAACAGAATGTTTACCTCCATAAAGGGTCTGGCAGTTTGTAAGGGAACAGAAATATTCCCACAAAAATAAAAAAGCCCAGGTGTCTATGTGGAAGGCTTGAAACAAGAACTCAAGGCCAGTAGCATGCCAAGTACCTACTCCTCCCAAATCCCACTTGTCCTTATTACTATCCATGTTTTTGTTTTGATTTGCTGCAAGGAAGTTGTAACATAATCTTAAAAAAAGAACTGGCATTTTGACTACTCTCTCTACACCTTCAGCAACAGGCACCTCCAGCTGCTCTACAAAAACCCCTCTTACTATTCAACTGTACATTGCTAGGACCACAGAATACTCACGAAAAAGCCCTTCTCCATGTCCAAGCAAAGGTCACTTGCTTTACACGCTCCTCAAAACCCCTAACATCTCACTCAGGGCAATAACTGAGTACTTGTAAATGCAGTGCATTATCTCTGATTTTAACACTAACAAAAGAAACCTGACAGTTTATGAGGGACCTACTATGTGGTAGTGCTTGCAAGTTACCTTATAAGTTCCAGTTGAGCAAGTTCTTGATTTGCTTGAAATATTGGCTTTTTTGTAAAAAGTTCACCCAGAATGCAGCTGTAAAACAGTTTTGCAGAATTCCATCATTATGGCTTTCAATATAGCTTGGCAGAAACATTTACAACTTATTTTTGGCTTGTTTTTGTGCTTGCTACACTTCTGTACCAAACTCTTACCCACAGCTCCAGACATCGATAGCTGGCGTGTATCTTTCTTCTCCAAGCAGAAGTTCAGGAGGCCGATACCATAGTGTAATAACTTTGTTGGTATATGGTCGGCTGTTGGGGGGAGCAAAGAGAGAGGACTATCATTTTACTACGATCTGATTTCCAGAAAAGTGCTACTTTGAGGACTTCACTTCTGTGGCGCTGTTTAAGAACACTACAAACTTCCACTCCCTTTTCCTAATTTTAGTCCTGCAAAACTGCAATTGCACAAAGGCAAGCGCAATTGTCTGACCAAGGCTATAAAAGGACAGATTGAAGATACAAATAACAACCACATAGCCATCTCGATGCTATATGAATCCTGTATCTCAATTATTATTCAGATAGCCTGGAACACTTCCATTATCTTCCTATATTTCACAACATCTTTAATTCTCTACAGCTCTAACCAGATGTTTTGGTCACTGGGAATAATCCTTTCCACCCTCACACTAAGCCAAGGATTTCCACTACCTTAGACACACATTTTTTGTGGACAGGCCGAGACACAGCATCAACAGTTCAGAATGGAAGGCAGAAAAAAAGACGTTAGGTTTTGGTTTTGTTTCAACCAGGGTGTCTTAAAAGTGATCCCAAAATTTTTTTCAGTTTTAATAATTCACTCTTACCAACACTAGGTAACTCCAAATAGAAAGCAGAGTAACATTAAGTGCAGAGTTGAACAACCATAGCATAAAATCTAACAAGCTCTTGTAACATACTCACTGGTACAGGTAGCATTTCCGCAAAATCACCCGAGTCTTTTTTTCATTAAGAAACTCCCCAATTCATTTTTAATATGCATGTTTTTGGAAACAATCCCATCATTTATCATATTTACCTCTGAAGCAAGCATTCCTTTATGAAATGTTTACGTGGTATGGACTTTCTCTACAGATACACCACTCATATATTAGTATACGGTGCTTTTTATTTGAACAGATGTTTTCTTACACAATCTGTCATATCGCCTACTCCAAACATATTGAATCCACCAGAATAACATTTAAAGGAGCACGACAACCACCACCAATGGGAATTTACTTAAAATTAAATTTTTATTTCCTCCCCATTATGCTCCTACTAAATTCTGTACCCTTTTGAAAAGTATATCATTCTAAACAGTAAAACAAATGTAAAATACATTACTTTAAAGCAGCACCTGTTAGACACTTGTTGGTGTACACCAATTACATCCATTACTGCAGGTCAGAAGCTACTCGGAAGGAAAATGAATGACAAAAGAATTGTCAAAAATCTACTAATGAGATTCTAATTATCCTCCCAAGTTCAACTGGCAATTCTATTAGCTAGCATAATTACATTTTAGTCTTGGTTTCATTTATGTATAATGGTGTAATAATGTTGCTGTTTGATGTATAGTAAAATCTGTTATTTGCACTATAAAAACACTGAACTTTCAATCATTCGATTCTTAATAAACAGTTAGTTTTACAAACAAAATTTACATTAATTTAAAAACATTAAAAAAGCCAATGGTAAACCAGACAAAAAAAAATTAGGTCAGTTTGGTGCATGTTAAAATAAGAAGGTGTCAATCCCTTTTATTATAAGTACATACAAAACAAAAATTAATTACCCAGCAGCTGCTTAAGATTATCTTACCCTGCTACTATACTCAACAGTTTTCATAAGTGTACTTAAGCATATGTTCCTGAAGTAACAGCTCAGAAGACAGCAAAACTAATGCCATCGAGTTCAACAACAAGCTCAGAGCTCTGTGAGAAAACAATAAACTCATAAAGCTAACATTATAGACATTATTTCCCAAATTAGGCATGTAGAAATCAAGTAAGCTCAGGTAGCTAATATTCTCTGTATCCAACCACCCCATGTACATACTAGCATAAATGAACATTCAGCCTGAATTTTGAAAATCCAGTTCCACATGACATTACAATATAAATACTGAAGTTCTTAATCATAAAAACTGTGCACCTGTTTCCTGGAGTACAAGCATAACGAAGCCAAGAACAACAGAAGCACAAGTCACAAGAAGTTTCAGAATAACTTTTATTTAAACTTTTGTCTCTGTTTCCAGCAGATTCAACAGCACTGCCTGCCTAAAGAATACAATGAACCTCTTCAAATTTAAGGTTAAATCTTACACAGAAGTAGTACTTTTTGAAAAGAAATTGTATACTAATTTGTGTCAGCAAAAAAAATTTCACTTTCCCTAAATAAACTTTTCCTACATATACCAACAGAAAGAATATACTTTATGTTTACTGGACCAGAAACTAACAGTAAAAACCTCCATATCGATGCAACCTCCTTAGGACTGCCAACTCTTCATTTCCAATCATATATGGCCACTCTCTACAGTTACTTATCTGGAACACTTGGAAAAGCAATACACTTGCAAAAAGAGAGTTTTGTGTTTTTATGCAGTGTAAGACAACATGCACTTCTTTCCATTTCCTAAGCAATTACTTGTATTACAGTTGTCCTGGTTTCGGCTGGGATAGGGTTAATTTTCTTCCTAGTAGCAGGCATAGTGCTGTGTTTTGGATTTAGTAGAAGAATGTTGATAACACGCTGATGTTTTTAGGTGTTGCTAAGTACTGCTTATGCTAGTCAAGGACTTTTCAGCTTCCCATGCTCTGCCAGGTACACAAGAAACTGGGAGGGGGCACAGCCAGAATAGTTGATCCAAACTGCCCAAAGGGCTATTCCATACCATATGTCGTCATGCTCAGTATATAAACTGTGGGGGGTTGGCCAGGGAGCAGCGATCGCTGCTCGGGAACAGTCTGGGTATCGGTCGGCAGGTGGTGAGCAATGGCATTGTGCATCACTTGCTTTGTATATTGTTATTATTATCATTATTATATTGGGGGTTTTTTGGGGTGTTTTTTTTTTTTTTTACTTTATTTCAATTATTAAGCTGTCCTTATCTCAACCCAGGAGTATTTTTTTCACTCTTACTCCTCCAATTCTCTCCCCCATCCCATCGGGGTAGGGGGAATGAGCGAGCAGCTGCATGGTGCTTAGTTGCTGGCTGGGGCTAAACCATGACAACAGTACAATAACATCTCCTCTAAACAAAACAGTCTTCTGGCCCTCACAATACTTAGAGTTACGCAAAAAGATTAACCTTCTGAATGCTTAATTATATCTTACCTTTCTTCAGAGTTGTACAGCCGAGCGAGCCCAAAATCTGCAAGCTTTATCTGCCCTCTGGTGGAAAAAGCAAAGAATTATTTCGTGATTAATCCTCTTAGATTTCCTTCCCAAAAATCAGGTGAAGTTTGAGGTTTTGAGACAGCTGCAACTGATCTTCACCAAACCAGATTAATGAGGTGGCAATGCCTTACAATCTGTGTATCTCTTCAGTAAACAAATACAGTAGCTTACTGAATAGCAAAGGCAAGTAAGCAAAATGAGGTATGCTCATCAAATGGTATTTACATCACCAGATGTTAGTAAAAATTTAGGTGTACACTGTAAAGTATTCAAATCAGTACCTCTGCAGGAAAAAACTGAGGGAGGAAACTGCTATTTTCTCATGCCTTACTGCTAGCATAAGCATTTGTACAACAAACAACTATCAGCAGTCGTACTTCCTTCTAGGAAGCTGTCAAAGTCCTGTTCTGCTCTTGTATTTAAATACAGCCTTTAACTCAGTGTGACCGACCAGATAAGGACTTCTATTTTTTGCCAACAGCCAACTTGCTGAATGACACAAGCCCTAACCCCTTCTTGAGTTTTCCCATATATGAGGGGAAGAGTAGAAGATACAGAGTTCTTGCCTGGCAGTTTCCAAGGCTAAAAGGCACTGCTCTGACCAGAAGTCCCCACCACCTGTAAAGTCTGGATGATTTTAACAGAAGGCTATCTTCAAGCTTCTCTAATACATGAAATGAATGTTGGAACATTACGTGGGGTTTTTGTTTTTCTGTACTTAGGAGTTTTAACTCCTGTCACTTTCAAATATATGCAAATGTCACTTTCAAAGAAATTTTATTTTATCCAATTAGGGCAAGACTTGCTGATGTGTGTAAGAATGACCATTTTGTGATAATAAAATATACGGGTTATCGTTTCCATTCCATTTTTCCCCTCAAATGTGTGCTTGGAATTGCTGTAACACTTGAAGAACCCCCATAAACAAAGAAATGTTCCCCTCAAATTTACATGCTTATTCCTCAGAGAGCATATTTGTGGAAGATCAATGAATTTTTGAGCAAGGACATAGATTATATGTCTTTTAGATATGCAACTTAAATGTGTTTGGCTTCAGGCTGTAACTGGTAATGGATTTTAGAAGCATTGGTTTAAAATTATTCAGATCAACTATCAACTTTTTCTTCTTCCAGTGGAAACGTCTAAGGATGCTCAAAAAATACCCTAGGGGGAAAAACTCTGTATCCAGGATTGGAGAGCACAGTACAACAGAAAGCTTATCTCTCTCTCTACCATAATGCAGTCTTCTCCACTGTCAGGTCACACCTCAGCTTCTGAGTTCTCAAAGGTGCACGGAGACAGCACCACCACCGGAGATTAGCAGGCAAGCAAGATAAGGTGTGTGGGCACAGTAAGTGATGTGGAGGCATGTGTACATCTGTTTAAGAGTCTGTATCATAATCTGGCAAGACTGCAGTGGGATCCAGAGCTGAAACTAGTCTAATCATAGAATCGTTTAGGTTGGAAAGGGCCTTTAAGATCGTTCAGTCCAACCATTAACCTTAGTTTGTTATAAGAAAAAGAGGAGGAAAACAAAAAAAATAATTTGGAGAAAGCTGGGACAAAACTAGGGCACCACCAAAAGAGACCCTTGATCCATTTTGCCCAGTATTTCATCTGCAACAGCAGCAGTAGATTTTTAGGGAGCACATGTGGACCTGCTCAATTTAGGGCTCATCTTCCTTGTACTTCACCACCACTCACAATCATTGTGTAAAGGATGCTAAACCAGGTATTCCCGTCTTTAGCCAGTATTAATGATCCTGTCCATGAACGTGTCTCATCTTTTTCAATCTCCTGACACTACCTGGAAAACCTCCTGTAACAACAAATCCCAGAAGCTGACTACCTGCTCTGTAAAGATACTCTTTTTTGCTGTTATAAACATCACTCTTACAGTTGCTCCCTGGTTTTAGTACTGCTGAATTTGATGAACAACAGTTCTGTACTGAAGTTATCCACTATCCTCACACAGGCTTTTTATTTGCTGCTGTTGCACACGGAACAAAAGCATGTTTACTAATATGATTTGTAATTACAAGTGGTTAATGAAGTAAGAAACAAATTCTTCTCCCCATTTGATTACGGCTATAACTGCAAGCCAAAGCATGTTTGAACCTGCCTGATCGAGTATTCTTCTAAATTCATCTGACTGATGAAGACGAGGACCTCAGAATTATGTCACGAAGAACCAGCCTAGCCACACTTCATCTTGAAATGAGATGGCAAAAAGAATACAGATCAAACCCTTATGTCCTAAAATTCTGTTTTAATATATTTGAACTCAGATAATTTTCCCCCATACTCTGACCTAAAAGAGTCAAGTTTTAATCCTGCTGTTTTAACACACATAAGTTTAACAAACAATTGCAGGATCCCGTGTTAAGCAGTAGCATTACCAGATTAGTATTTTACAATTGATTTTAAAGAAACTAGGCAATCTAAAAAAAAGTTTTGCTAATGACTTAAAGCAGGTGAACTGTGAAGATTAAAAAAAAGATGTAAAGATGTTGTTAACATACAATTTTTTTACATGCTTTAAGTAATATCCATACCTATTATTTAGTAGAATATTTGAACATTTGATATCTCTGTGCAAAAAGTTCTTCTTATGGCAATAGGCCAAGCCTTCCATCAGCTGTCTCATAAAGGATTTAATATGATTTTCATTAAAATGAACCAAACCAGATTCCAGCAGTCCCATCAAGTCATGGTCCATGTATTCAAATACCAGGTAAAATGCACCTAGGAAAAGAAAGGGAAAGGGTAGGAGAAACAGAGAGAGAGAAATTGATGTCACAGCAGTCCAAACCATTGCTGCTCCCTATTTTTGAAAGTTGGAAGTATTTTTCACACAACTGCTTATATTTTCCACAATATTTATAGCTGCACGTCATGTCCAATAACAGCAATGAAACACAGTGCAGTAAAATGTTTTCATAAAATTGCTTTTCCCTGTAAACAATTATACTAGTCAAATATTTGTGAAAACAAATATGCTACCCCATGGTGCTTTAATCTAGATGGACATGTACTCTCCCTATGGCTTTCAAGCTCCATCTTTTTTTTTTTTTTTAAAGAGAAAAATTAACTGGGTTAATATTCCCTATGTAAAGTTTGGGGAGAAATCTAGAAACAAAGTATGTACAGCATTAGTTCATCTGTCATGATTCGGTGACTGGTTTTTTTAAGCTTTCAGTGTGGAACTGGGTCAGAAATAAGCCTGCCCTTCTCAGACTAAAAATACCTGTAAGACAAGACAAAATGAGAAAGCAGAACTAACCTACTAGCAACAGCACCTCTGCAAAGACTCATATTCCAAGCTGCCACACACATACATCAAGCATTACAGAATCTGGTCTTATCTCACGTTAGCCTGTGTTATCCCACAAATAAAGATATAGCCAAGGCTCTTTGATAATCTAAGTATTCTTAAAGAGGAAAATTGCTGAGAGCTTCAGAAGCAGCAATAACCAATCTCCAGTACAACCACTCCCAGTACGACCTACGTTTTAGTACTTAATTCTTCCCCTTCTCAACTCTGGGGCAGGGAAGACAGTGCAGTCCCTGCAGAGCACTGGTGGCAATGCAGAAACCATGTTCAAGTGGGTTTACCTACCTTCCATTTTCAAAAGCCTCCCCCAAAGAGATTTCAAACCCAGCACTAAAGTACAAATAGCTTCTGCCCAACAAGAACTCATTAGGTTCTAGTTCCTAAATAAGAAGTGTGCATTCAGAAGCTAGTGAAAGTCTTGGAGCAATAATGAGAAGTCAGCTTGCCAGAACGTACACACACAGAGCCAAATTCTAATGAACTGACTTGTCTTCTTGCATAGTAGCTGAAAAGGGAAGACAGAGTGCTAAATCCATCTGCTATTTAACAAACAGAAAAAAAGATTACTCATACAGTAAGTGTTAAAACTTGTAACAAAAATCAGCACAGAGCAGCTAAACCACAGGCCATTGCATAAGACACTCAGAGTTCACTGTTTTTAATTTAGGTCCTTTTGTCCTGCTGGATGTTATACGGAGCTAGCAAAATAGTGATCATAAAATACCCCTGTTGGAGTGTACACAGGAGGTGGAGCAGGACACGTAAATCAAGCAGGTACAACCTGATCCCACCACTTCAAAAGGAAAGAAGGAATTATTAAGAGCCATAAAGAACCAAAAGTCTGCTGGGTTACTATTTGTGTAACTGAGTTCACCAATGCAGTTCACCAGTTCAGCATGGTAAAAGCACAGAGGCTCCTAATCTCGGTCTTATAAAACAAGATAGCTGGCAACCTGGTGTTAGGGCCACTTCACTGACAACTGCTGAAGTATGAACCATGACATATCTTAAAATGCCTTGAAATAAACCACCTGATATTAATGCTGCAGTGCCAGAACAATCTACATATGCCCTTCAGAGTATGTCAGCTCAACAAAATTGAATACCAATGATCTTGGTATCTTCTTGCTCTGGAATACAAAGGAAAGTTAACTCTATCATGGCAGCAGGCTACACTCTGTGTGTACACGACAAGGAGAAAGACTGGGAAGGGTCAGTGGGATTGCAGACCTGTTTAGTGAGAACAGCTGAACATGGGTCTTCTTGTTTATATGCAAAGTAGGCTCTGTGCCTTGAGCAATTTCCTGCTCAGCCACTAGCTCCTGGGATTTTTCACCACTATTTATAGCAAGCAATCACAACTGTACCCTCATGCAAGAAGGAAAGCTGACAACAATGGAGACAATTCATAAATAAAACAAAGTAGTACCTGGGAGATGGCAGCCAATTGTTTATATTCTCTGCAACTCTCATTAAGAAACATACACTAGAACAGTATAAATGCTAAGTGTTCCTTCCATCTCAGAGCAAGAGCAAATGCACGGATCCATTACACTTGTGCATTACTACCTATTTGCTACCTACATATTATACAGTGTTAAAAACTGTCAAAGCTGAATCTTCTTCATTGGTTATGGGAAACTATTAAAATTATGGTCTACTAGCATTGGCAATCTAACCATTAAAACCTGATTTTCAGTATTACTCGAACTATATTTGGAAGTGATTTTAGCTGCAGAAAAGGTATCAAGCAAACTGAAGTGACATTTCTGTTAGTTTATTTCTAGACAAACATGGTGCCCTTTTCTGATAGAGATCTACAGTTTCAGTCAACAAAACAGTTACGTTATTCCACTTGATGATTTCAAATCTCCACTGCTTTTCATCAGATCAGGAGACCTGATCCTTCATAACAGGGAAAGAAGCTATAGATATTCAGGAAGAAAAGAGTCATGGAAGACTTCACAAGTGAACCATGCACAGGCCGAAGTCTGCTTACTATAGCATAGTCTGAGTTTGAGTTTACAGCATCCTTTAGTGCAATTACAACAAATGCCACACAAATATCCATTTCTCAAAAAGGAAAACATAACGAAAAAAAACCCCAAACATTCTTTCCTTTATGAGGCCAAGACATTCAGTAACTTGGAGGTTACGTTTTAAAATGACCCTTTGTTTCATGCTAGCTTTGCTTAGAATGTCCGCATTTCTAGAAGCACTGTCATAAAAACACCTAAAGCTGTTACAGTAAAGCACATGCAATTCAAATGAACCCAGAATTACTTATTTGACTTTAACATTACTCATCTTACTGCTTTTATGTTAAAGACCTACACTTCCCAGTAAGTAAGTACCTATGGGGTGGGAGGTAGCCTACAGTCCATTTTCACATGCTGCAACAAAGCACAAACAGGGGGTTTATGCCTTGGGTGCCCCATTTCCTTTGCTAATACCACACAGCTCATCTCCATTCCTTCATCTACTGAGATAATAAGAAACCTTAATGTCACTGCATGTTGACGGAGCAGCAGCTGGAACAGCTGAGCAGTAGTAATATTGCCTACTTCTGAATATGGGATAAGAGATAGCAGCTGAATCTATTAGGGAGGTACACAATAAATAAAGGAGACTCATCACATGGATGGAAACAATCCTTGCCTTACTCCTTTTGTTTGCACTTAGAAAAATTCATCTTTTTGACCATTTTGTCAGTTAAGATGGATAAGGGTCAGAAAGTGAGATACCGGTTTAGAATAATTAAAGGATTAACACATCTCCTCCTCCTGTTCACGTATAAATGTCATGAAGCTCTAACAGTAGCAGTTTTCTAAACCAAAACACAAAATGAGCTGGGGTATAATGCTGTGAAGCTATACATACAAAATGGGTAACTCAACAAAACATGGCACTGATGATCTGTAATAAACAAAGGATTTTCTGAGGGGCCAAAAAACCTAACAAAACATACTTTGCATTTTTGTGACACAGGCAGGCAGGCTCTGGATTTTTTTGACTGTCATCAAATCACACAGATCCAACAAAGCAGGACATCAAGTTACACACTTGCTCCCAAAGTAAGATACAAGTGCTTTGGGCTGGGCAGGGGGCAGGAGGGAGGGGAGCAGCAGGGGAGAATGATCCAAAAGCCTACACAGATGACAGCTTTTAAGCAAATATTTTCCAAATGTAATTGCATAGGGAAGGTGTTTGGCATTTCTCAAAATATCTGATTAGATACAGATCAGAGGAACTGGGAGACTAGAAGTGCCTTATTATGTGCAAATTTTAATTCAATCCTTGTATAAATGCATTACAATAGTATCTTGAAATGCAAAAATGCTTAAAAAAAGGGGATCCCTGCCTCATTCAGTGCATGGTATGTACAATGCCAAGTTGTTGAACAGGTTTTCAACATTTTGTTCTGTACTCACTGTTCAGAATGAGACTCCATCAGATTTTCATTTCACTAATAAGCCTTGTCAGCTTCTTCTAGGCAACACATAGATTTTTTTTTTTCCCCCTCCCCCTTGATTGATTAAAGATAATTGCATTATATTTACTCTTCCATTTCCTTAACATTTCTCTTCCGGTACTCATGATACACTATATTCCAAAACAGCTTTAAACAGAATTTTATCAAACAGAGCTTGAAAACTAAAGAAGAAATTGTCAAACAATTCCTTGAAGTTCCTTACATTTAAATTCCTTAAAGTCCCTTGAACAGACATTAATCTTTTCTTTCTACTCACATTTTACAAACCTATTTTCTAATTTGCAAAACACCAAGTAAAGGCATAGCCACTGAATTAATCACCTTAAGACTAAAGAAAGCATCACTGCTATACTCATTTTCCCTTTATATGTATCACAAAATTTACTGCAGAAGTAAACCAAACATATCAGAAATCTTTGATTACTAATCAGGGGTTTTTCTCATTTTGCCATAACATGGATCAAGTTGAAAGGCCACACAATTAGGTCTGCACTCATTCCAGACCAGAGTCCAGTATAGCACACAGAAACGGGAAGCACCACTGAAGCAGTTGCACTAGGCCTGGTAACTTAGCTGTAGCATGAAAACTATCTGGGTAAGAAGTTTCTATCAGCTATTGTGGGAGCAGCAAGGCAAGCTGTAGATCGTTAGAGGTTTCTCAAATTCAGATCAGTTCAGTTTTACCCAGCTTCCCAGGAAACCTGGATAAAGCTAGCTACAATACAAGTAGAGAAGGAACCCTGTAGTGAAGTACTCTCTGATAACTACACGACTGCTGTCACAGACTCTTTCCAAACCACAAGCTTTCAGACAAAGTACTCCCTGATGGCTGTAAGAAAGTAACCTGCTAGTCATACGACAATGTACCACACAGTCAGTGTCCTTTTGACACATGTACTACAGTACCATTGAGATAAATACCAACTTCATGCCTAAAAAGGTTTATTAATTTGTACTGCAAATCAATTCAAAATTTAATCTTATCCAAAGTACACTTAGGTCTTAAAATGAATTACAGAAACACACACACAATCCAAATGGATAATCCACACACAGAAGAAAAAAAAAAACCAAACACAAGCTGCAATGTTGACCAGATCTTTTTTATTAGAGTATCCCATGCAAAGTTTTACATCCTCCCTTGGGTTAGCAATTAAAAATGCCTCTTCCAGTCGAAAGAAGGAAGAGATGTCAGTCAGCACACCTACTGGTTTTACATTCACAGCAACAAAAGCTAAGTCAGGCACTCTCCACATGTTTAGTAAAAAGAGATCATGGCAGTCCCATAGCTAGACTGTTGAGCACTTGCAAACAGCTTCTAGCTGATAAAGAGACAACTGAGAACTGAAGGACCACCTCAGGTGCCCAAAGAAAAAGGAAGAGACACTCAAGTCATACAAATGACAGACTCACTGAGAAAACAAACCACAGCTGACAAAAGCCCAAAGTAAGAAGGGCCTTTTTTCCAATGATTCACTTTATAACTGATGAAGTGGCTCAACTAACTTAGCTTATGAGGTGTACAGATTTGAATATACCTAGGAAATAGCTCTTTGTTTTCAACCTCCATTTTAAATCTCGTTTTCTTCAATTACTGTTGCACAGGGAATGCCACACAAACTTTCTCAGACAAAAAAAACCTGCTAAGATAAGATGAAGAGTGTCTGCAAAGTACAATCCTCCTGTTCCAAAAGGACACAAACTGAAGTTCATGAACGTGAACTCCAATTAATTTGAACTACCATCAAGCAAACAAAAAGGAAAAGCAAAGGAAAGTTTATTTGCCAGCAGACTTGGCTGTAAGCACCAACAGTGTTAGGCTGCTTCTACTACTGTCAAAGACTGACACCCACAATTGCTCCTGCACTAGCTCATGGAAGAAAATGTTTTCAACAAAAATAACCATAGTTCTGAGATTTTAAGAAAAAACTGAATGGAAAGTATAGCTCATTGGTGCTGTCAAGTCAAATGAGGTTTTATGTCCTGAGAGAAGCAGAGGAGGTTTTAAAAAAAAAAAAAGAGTCTGCTAAACATACTGTTAAGTCAGCTGTTATGCAGATATATACACAAGACAGAATACAAACTGTGAGTCATGTTCCCATCCCCAAGCCTGAAATGTGCACCTATCTCCCTCTGAATGATAGGTAGGGGAGAAAAGCCTACATGAGAAACATACAAAATGAATACTCCTTCTCACCACATACTGGCAGGATCATGCCTCAGAATCAAGATGTTAGATTACCAATCAGTAATGCTGTTCTCCAACTTTATCATCGAGCACGTCTCATACGTAATGAAGACTGCAGAAGTAAAAACTTCAGATCTTCAGTATAGCAGACCCACGTATCACCCACTCAGCTGTGTGTGTGCCCAACATACAAAAAATTGTGCTGTCTGATGTGCTGTATTTCCACTGACGGAAATACCCTTTTAACATAAGTACAATACCGCTCCAGTGTGTTGCATTTCTTTTTCTAATGGTTGGTCTAGAAAGAACAAAACCAATCCTAGCTATTAAAGCTGTTCCGATCAAACTTACACCCTAAGCTGGCCAGGATAAAACACAGATATACTTTTCTTCCACTTTCTTTCAAACGCCATTGAAAATATTAAGACAAACTTCCAAAAGCTTGGAAGACATAGGATTATGTCACTTTAAAAACACCTAACACGGCTGAGAGTATCACGACAAACTTGTACAATCCAAGCCATTGCAGTTTTTCAGGCCAATGTTACTATCTTAAAAAGCATCCTTAAAACAAGTACTGTACAAAGTGTGCCCAATATTTATGTAAGTGTCAAGAAAACTAAATTTTCTGCATTTTAAACTACTGAGATCCAACAAAAAAAAACCCAAACCTTAAGTGAGTAAGTAGATGAGTAATAGGTCAAGACATGATAGGTGTCCTTAGACACAAAATTAACTTTACTCATATTAACTAGAGGAACACATGTTGGCAGAAATGTTCTCGTTCCCTACTTTTACAAATGG